AGAGGCAAGGCTGCTGCAGCTCCTTGCTCCCAGTTGCAACCAGTAGCAAGGCTGAGCGTGTATTACCTGCAGGCACATGCACACAAACACACATATTCACCGCATATATATGCGTGTATACACGGCTGCCACACAGATCTACACAGACACACACAGCATTTACACAAACAGCACCAGTGGCCTCATCCTGTTCCCCTCCCAGACTGAGCAGGATGGAGGTCCGCTAGTAGGAAATATACATTTATATATATACACACACGTGTATAAGGTGGATCCTTCCAGGAGCTGGGCTCAGACACTCAGCCTGCTCCCAGATCCCAGTCTCTCTCTGGGCATATGAGACATCAGTGCTGCAGCCCAACTCCTGTTGCTGTTACAGACTCCCCCTACACCCCCAAATAGAGAGTACCTCACCTAGGAAAAGAGTTAGAAATAGAATTTAATAACGAGATAGGGCAAACTCTGCTAATTAAGTGCAGGGCAAGGCTGTACGTGTGTGTGTGGTGGCCAGCCTGTGGTTTACATGCCACTGTCCCTTTTTCCCCCTCATCCCTCCTTTTCCCCCCTTTGATTCCTCCCCTAAACATCCCATAGTAAGTCCTGTGCGATCCCAAAATGCTCTTCCCCTGCATCCTGTAATGTGTCCACACACACATATAAAAACACACACATCCCCCAGTCTGAAAGGAGACCAGGTGTTGACTCTTCATGATGGGACTCACACCTGGACAATGGGGCCGATGGCTCCCCTGGGACAGCCCCTGGAGGGGACACCCCTCCTTCTCCCAGTCCTTCATTTGGGCTACCACCTGGCATTGTGCCCCTGCTCTCCCCTGAGCGTGTGAAAATGGGGCCTTTGATGTGCTGACGGCCCCGGTGATGGGCCTGGGAGTAGCTTGGGGGCAGGGTGGCATTTGGGCTCCTCCTCCTGCCATTGTCTGGCTCTGGCTCCTCTGTGGGAGTGCGGATGAGCTTTTATCACGTAGCCCACGAAACGGGCTTCCTTTGCCCTTCCGCAAAACTGCTGTCTTTTCTGTTGTGAATTTTACTATCACATAAATACCCACGAAGGGAGCTAGGGAAGGAAGAGCTAAGGAAATGCCCACTTGACCCGTTGATTTGCAGTTAGTTGTGTGTGGTCAGGTGACCATGCCAAATAAACAGAAATTAAATTTAAAGGAGACCAGATTCCAGTTCCTCAGAATCTGGTGACGAAAGCAATGGCTGGGCCCAAGATAATTTTCCCAACAGTGAAAAAGTCAGCTTTCTCCCTCTGCTCTTGCCCCCAGCCGTAGCTCTGAACTGGTGCCGTTTTCTGGAGTCAAAATGCATGGCAGATCCTTAATTAGGTGAAAACTTGTATTGTTTGACAGTGGGTTTTGCCCCAGACTAAAAGCACAGTTATTCCTTGCTCTCCTGAAAGAGCCTGGCAATTGCTTGGCCTGAAGAACGGGCAACAAATAACACGAAGCACAGTGGCGCAGTTTGGTTGAAAGGGTATGAGTTTGGGAATAAATGCAGCTGCAGGGTCGCGACTCGAGCTTTGCCCCCATAGATTCTAGCTTTGTAAGAAAAATACATAAAAACCAAAACCAAACAAAAACCCACAAACAAAATAACCCAACCAACCAACACCAACTTAAAAAAAAAAAGCAAAAGCAAAAACAAAACCCCCCAAATTTTCCAGAACTGTGC